ACTAAACTTAGCATACTTGTTTAGTTCTCTTATCTGGGTGGGGAGGTTGTTTAGTAGAGATAAGATTTTCCTCTCAAGGCAATTTTGCACATAAATGGTTTCATTTCTATGCCTGTGTGGATAGAGATTCTGATAATAAAGTTTTAAATTGGCTTGGGTGAGATTTACCTTAAACTGGAATCCTTGCTCTTTAGCATGTGGAGAGGCCGTTGGCTGCACATCTTCTTATGAAAAAATGAGGAGCTCACTCACCCCTTATTATTTTCTAACTCCAGACCCTTGTGTATTTCATTATTAATTATAACCGTATTTATACCCATTCACAACAAAAAGATTAGATAATTCACTCTAATTCAATGTGATAACTGTCAGGGAAGGAGATTCAGGATGCTATGAGCGTAGAGATGGTGTTGCTGGACTCCACACATTTAAGGGATAAATAGAAGTTAGAAAGAAGAGAGAAAAGCCATACCAATCAGATGGAATTGTTGTGTATTAGAACAGGCGTGATATGTTAACTGTCTCATTGTGGTAAAAAAACTTCGTTGATGCTATTGCCTTTGACTGGAAATTACTTGACATTCCTACCTGACGTAGACATACAAGTAGTTAAATGATACAATTCCTTCACTTACCTGCACGTTTAGCCTTTCTCCCCTTCTTTCAAGAAAAACAAAGCCTTACTCTTAACGTTTAGTACTTTTTTTTTCTTTTTATTATTTTTGTGTGAGTGTACCATCAAATCAGATCTGACTGGAACAGGAGATTGTCCCTCCTTCCCTGGCAGAGCATCTGGTTGATTCGAACCGTGCGCCTCTGGGATTGTAGTTGCAGCTCCTTGCCACTAGGCCACCAGAGCTCCCCTTAACATTTAGTTCTAAATTGCTGATTTTTGTGTTGATTTCTGCAATAGGAAAAGTTTCCTTTTTCTCACAGTTGGATTTAAATTCCTGTTTGAATACATTTTGTCCAACTTCACCCAGAATTAGTACATGGCAAGGTTCCTTTTCCTTAAAAATGTTTTTGGGAGTCAACGATCTTGCTTTTGAGCTCATTAAATTTTTTTCCTTCTTGAGATAGAAAGTTGTTTGTTTCTAGGCAGCACAGAGCTGTTGAACTTTCCAGGAACCCAGTGTGAGACTTGTAAAGCCTCAAAAATATTGTATAACAAACCAGAGTATATAAACATACATGTTATCTTTGGTGTGTTTCATAAGTAATGAGTCCCTTTTTGCAAAGCTGCAAAGATATTTTAAGAGAATCAAAAGTGCATAAGCATGTGTGTTATCAGCTGTTCTCTAAGACCTAGATTTTAGGAATAGTGAGTCCCTTGTGAGCCATAAACACCCAATGGGATTGACAATGTCAAGTTTCAAAACCTGGACTCCTTCCTGTATTACCATATCTGGCTCAAGTCGCATGTTTTGTCTGCATGTGAAACTGTCACATTGGAATTTCTCAGTGGCCTGTGCTGATTACATTACTAACAACAATGGGCTACACGGCTAAATAAATAACAGCAGGCCAAGCTTGGACCAGTGTTGAAAGTATGTCATGAACTAAGGATTATGATTAATCCAATTCTGTGCACTTGAAGTCTAAGGAAGAATGGGCTGGGGAGGAGGACAGGGCAATTAGCATTTACAGTGAGCTCGTAGAAAGAAAAGAGAGGGATCAAGCCAGTTGAAGTTCAGAGTGAAGTTTGGATCGGCAGTCCCTGGTCGTGAGGAGGCCAAGGAGCTCTGATGACATAGTGGGCTAATTGTTGCCTAGCTAAGTAATAGGTCAGCAGTTTTGATCCTTCATCTCCGTGGGAGAAAAATGAAGCCCTGTGCATCCTTAAAGGTTAAGCTGTGGAAACCACGTCGGCAGTTCTGCTTTCTCGCACAGGTCACTGTGACTCAGATTTGAGCCAGCAGTGGTGGGTTTTTGACTGGAGATTTCAAGACTAATCTCCAGGCTCAGCTGGGAGAGATTCTGGCTCCAAGCTCCATCACGTGGCCCTTGGCAGACCTCAAGTCCATGCTGGCTGTCGTTGGATGAAGGCATTGGTTCTGTCCTGGCTTTTTATAAGGCAGTTCACAATTTATACCAGCTGTCTGCCCACCGACAAGAAGGCAAGAGTACAAGGGAGCCAGAGAGAGGGTCTTTTGTTACCTTAATAGTCTTATTTTAACCTAATTTCAAAATTTACACCCCATCATATTTGCCAAGTTGTACTTGTTCAAGGCAAGACACTAGGTTCAGCCCACATGCAAAACAGCACCGCAGCCTCTTTGACGTGGCGTCCGTGCTCACTCAGAGCGAGGCTGTCAGAGTAGAACTGCCCTGGGGCTTCCACAGTGCTCATCGATATGGAAGCAGCCTGCTCCCTCTATCCCGCAGGGGGTCTGGTGGGTTTGAGGGTGGCCCACGTGTTCTGACCTCTGTGCCACCAGAGCTCCTTGGCCCACACTCAATGGAAGGAGATTCCACACAGTCGAGGAGGCAGGAGGCAGGGGTCTCTGAGCCCATTTCATAGGCCCCCTGCCACAGCAGTGCACGTGTTACAGAACGTGATGACAAAGACTCAGCGCTGAACAGACCTTAGAAAGTGCCGTACTCTGCCCTAGATAGAGCCAAATGCAGTTTGGCGTAATAATATTTCTGATAGCTTTGTCCATAATTTACAAGTGCAGATTATCTGGGACTCTTGGGGGATGAGTCAACTGGAAAGTTTGTCTCCGGACCAAGTTGGTCCATGAAGGACCAGATTGTAATAATGAGAGGAGCAATGCCTTCCGCATGTGGTAACACAGTTCCTTCCCTTCGTAAAGAATTGCTGGACTAACAGAATTTCCTCATCAGCAGGAAATGAATGGCGATGAGTATTAGAAAGAGGAGATGCTGGTGAAAGGGCATATGTCTCTCTTTTCTTTCCTTTAGTTGTTGTAAGGATGGAAGTTTGCAGGGCACATTAATTTGCTACTCAAAAGTGTACAGAGTTGTGGTTTGTGACAGTGGTTGCCATCTCCTCAGTGTGTCGTCGCTCATCTGCTGGGCTCCCCATTTCCGTCCGTCCTTGCCTGCGCTTTCTTGCCTGAGCTGATTTTGGACGAGTGCTGCATGGGGGCCTTGCTGACTCCTTGTGCTGCACATTCTCCCTGGGGTGATAACTTACTTCTGCAGTTTGATCTGCCGTGGCTAACAGTTGATCCCAGCGTGAGCTCCGTTCCAGGCCGAAAGGGCTTGTAAGGGCCACACCGGCTCTAAGGTTCCGCCAGTCTCTGTCAGATTCACGAGTCTGGTCTGTTTTAGGATTTTTAAAATTTTGATGTGTGTGTTTTTTCCTCTATCAGGATAAAACTTCTCTTCTGTTGTGATCTCTTCAGAGCCCTTGGTGGTGGCACTGTCTGGTTCTTCCAGAATCCAGGGCATAGAGGCTGGGTTCATGTGATCTGTCAGGCCTCTGTACTGATTGTGTCCACGCATCATTTTTATTTTCTTCACTCCTCTTTTTTCTGATAGGGGAGAGCAAAGTGCATCTTCGCTGACTGCTCCCCAGCTTTGAAGACCCCAGAGGCTGCTCACTAACGTCGGACGTGGAGCTTGGTCTCTGTGGACGGGTGTGCCACAGTTCTCCACAGCTGTGTCCTGAGTCCCCAAGCCCAGCAACCCATTCCCTCTAGTGTTCGATGCTGTGAAGAAGGCTTTGGCACATCCTTAACTGGGCATTGCTGAGCCCCGTAACTTGAGCCCCTCTTCTTCCTCTTTACCATTTCCACCCTTCCAGAGGCCACCAAACTTGAGACCCCCAAGTCCATTTGTCATTTAAAAAATGTGCTGCTCAGTCTTTCCAGCAGACAGACCGTGGGCCCTCCTGGCTCATTAGCCAGGAGCGGCAGGGTTTGGTGATTGACTCATTTCGCTCAGTAGCCTGCCGGCCTCGTTCATGAACTTCCCAAGGTGCCGCAGATTCACCGCTGTTCTTTAGTCCTCGTTGATGGACACCTGGCTTGTTTCCTTCCTTCTGTTATTATGAACAGTGCTGAGATGAGCATGTTGTTAGGTACCATCCAATCAGGACTGTACCACAGCTGACCCTCCAGTGAGTTTCCAGTGACGGTTTAATCGCACGGGAAGAGATTACCCACCTTTCTCCATCAGAGCAGCTGGTGGATTTGAACCACATGCCTGTAGGGTTAGCAGCACAGCTTCTCAACACTCGTGCAACTAGAGAGCTCCCTGCTGAGATGAGCATAGAACTGAAGTATTTCCAACGTCTGTAAGCGTGCTTGTTGCATCCTGAGGTCATTCTGTCTTGACAGATGTTTGGCAAAGCCTGGGGCCGATTTTCTGTACAGCTGTAGCTGCTCTATGAATCCAGTTTCATCTCTGCATTGGTTATAAATTTACAAAGAGCAGAAGCACAGCTGGAAATCATCTCAGTGGGCAGCAAGTTGATGGTGGGAGGTAGACTATTGGAGCCAACTATTCACCCATCTTGAGTAAAGTTGTGAGGCTTCGTTTTAACATTATTAATCCCAATCCTGCCTCCTGCCTTCCAGAGACAACAGTTTAAGCATGGCTTTCTTTGAGACCAGGCTGAATAAACGTTCTAAACAGTGAAATTTGGTATTTAACCCAGAATTATAACATTGGAGATTTCAGAGGGACCCCAAGAGGGGCTATTTCCTGTGGCATGTGAATTCTCTGTTGGCTAATGAGAGAGATTTCCTAGGTCTTGCCTCCTTGGGAATGTTGGGGTATTTTTTCTCTTATTTGGATATCAGGGGCCCTCCCCCAGCCCACGCTGGGGACACAGGGTGAGGACCCAAGTAAATGGAGCTGCTGCAGTTCAACCTGGGATCACAGGAAGTCTTCTCACTGTCACGGGTTACAGTGCCCTGAGGTGACGACCGTCCCTGCTCCTTAAACTTGCTTGTTTGTGGGTTTTCTGGTGCTGAAAACCAGGAGAAAATCAGGGCATCCTTAAACTCTTTTCTACTTTGCTTTTCCAGGTCTATAAAGGAGAATTTCAGCTACCTGACTTTCTTAAAGAGAAACCCCAGGTAAAGTATCTGCTATCTCCTCTGATCTGCCAGAAAGACTCTTGCATGAAAATCATCAGTCTGAAGGGATAATTATGGGGTGTTCCTGGGGAAAAGACTGGCCTCTGGTAATCATTGGTTTTCCCAGTACTTCCACCCACAGTCTTCATTTCAGAGAACTCGCTGTCGTCCAGAGCTAGGGCAGGACTTGACTGAGCCATGTCCGTGGAAGATGAATCGCTTAAACTCTTGTCTGGAGATAAACGTCAATGAAAATAATCCCCTCAAAAGCTAGAGGAGAGAGATTAAGTATGCAGTAATAGCATGATGAAAACTTGTTAGTATTATGAGAATGACCAGAATGGGGCCTGGAGACTTCAAGTGAACATGTGTTGTGGGGAAGTGGCCCTGACAGACTTGCCATCGATCTTCACTCAGTATAAAATTCATCTTGTGCAAACACAGTTAGATGAGGTCTGTCCATAGTTTCCGTGCAGGGCCTGGCTCCTGAGTCAGTTACCAGTGACTTGGTATTGGAGCCCCGTGGGGAAAGGTGGAGATGTGATACCCTTTGTAGATTTTGAGGGGCGGTGCTTGCTATGGGTGGTGGCCGGCTGAGCTCTGGAGTCTGGGCAGCAGGCCTGCGGCCTCCTGCGCTGTCCACTTCTTGGACTCTGACCATCTTTGCTTCCTTCCTTCCACAGACCGAGCAAGTGGAGTAGCAGCGCTGTGCCAGGAGCTCTTCTATCAGGAGGTGAGACTCGGGGTGTCACCAGGCCCTTAGGGTCCCCTGCTTGCGCTCGGGGGAGGTGGGCAGTGGAGCAGGAGCAGAGAGCACAGCTCCAAGGCTACAATCTTGGGGAATCGAGGCACTGTCTCGTCTCAGCCACGCAGCCTGGAATAAGTGGCCTGCCCTTGCTGTGCCTGTCTCCTAATCTGCACAAGGAAGATGGTGTTACTACGAGTGTGGTGATGAGTGTTCCTGTCGGTGGCCCCGTGCAGAGGGAGCATTCAGAATTGCTTGTCATTTTCCATAAGAGCAAACCTCCAACCAGTTGCCGAGTGAGTGTCCCAGCTCACAGCAGCCTTAGAGGACGGAGTGGGCCTGCGGCCCTGGAGGACAGAGTGGACCTGTGGTCCTGGAGGACAGGGTGGACCTGTGGTCCTGGAGGACGGAATGGACCTGCAGCCCTGGAGGATGGGGTGGACCTGCAGCCCTGGAGGACGGAGTCGAACACCTATGTAAGGTTTCCAAGGGAGCCAAGTGCCATGCTTTCTCCTGCACAGCTGCTGGTGGGTTTGAACTGCCAGCCTTTGGGATTAGGATCCAGGCCCTTTTGCTGCACCACCTGAGCTTCTTTTTCATTATGGATAACATTTGACTGAAAGGGGCCTGAGTACCACCAAGCCTGGTCATCTGTTTTCTGCTAAGGAAACATCCCAGGGAGAGCTGATTTGTCCTGGGTCAAGGTCACAGCCCAGAGCTGGGTGACATGAGGGCTCAAGAGTTCTAGCTGCTAACTGGAAACTTCACCATTGCTGCTGGAAGTGTGGATAGGACGGTCAGTGTGGACCAGAGAGGGGTGAAACCCCACAGGGCCCGCAGACCCCCCTTCTGGCACCCCCGAAGACGTGAAAGCAGAACCGTGATTGAGCCGTGCACTGGCCTTCAGGGCAGCACTGTGCAGGAGTCAGAGGCAGACACGCCGCGTGTCCATCAGCGGGCAAGCAGGCACGGAAAGCGCAGTGTGTACAAACACACACCGACTCGACCTTAGAAAAGAAGCCCCACTATGTGCCATGCCCTGGGCAAATGCCGCATGACGTCACTCAGCCAAGGCACACGTACTGTGTGACCTCACTTAGGTGAAACAGCCACCATGGACGTGGGAGTGAGAGGGAGCGTCGCCGTGTGGGAGGGAGTTCTGCTCGCACTGATGGGAAGTTTGGCAGTGATTATTATGCGTGATCGCTCATACCAACTTGATTGATGTTATTGATGACACTGAATTTTATGTGTGAGATCACTGAGCTGGCAAACCTTGTGTGATATGTAGTTTTACAACAGCAAAACGATACATAAAGGGCGTCTGAGAAGCTCGAGTCCATGTCCAGGGTCAACCGCCAGGCAGAGGTGACGTGGCTCAGGTCTCTCGCCTGTCCCCACCCTTCCCGCGGAGCCTGGTTTGTTCTTACGGGTGGACCGTTTGAAAGGGTCCGACCCTGATATTTCTCATCACAGCCGCACATGCTGGGCTTTTTAACATAGTAGTCATGTACCGTGTAGCTGCTCCGTCCCAGGCACAAAGCCCCAAGTGCTGCGTATTGTTAGATGCATTGTCAAGTTGGTTCCGGCCCTGGCGCCACCGAGCCCAGCCCATCCCGTCCTCGCAGCTGTCACACTTGAACCCTTTGTGCAGCCGTTGTGTCAGCCCACCCAGTTGAGGGTCTTCCTCTTTCCCTCTGACCGTCGACTGGATACGATTCATCTCCCAGGAATCGACCCCTCCTGACGACATGCCCGCAGGGGTAAGGCGGAGGCTGCCCACCCTGCTTCTAAGGAGTGTTCCGGCTACACTTCTTGGTCCAGATCCGGTTGGTCTGTTCTCTGAAGTCCCTGGCACGGTCACTGTCTTGGCCGGCGCCACAGTTCAAAGGCGCTGGTTTTCCTTCGATCTTCCTAATTCGTTGACAGCTTTGATTTTGTATGAAGCGATTGAAAATGCCAAGGCATGGGACGTGGGTGGTGGTATTTCTGTTGGACCGATGAGGAAATTGAGCTTGAGTTGCATTGATGTTCGTGATCAGACATGAGAAGCTCATGAACTTGGCTGTCATGTCAGAGCCAGGGCAGCAGGCCGAGAGCAGGGGTGGGGGGCAGTCAAGACACACAGGGGGACTGGAAGGACTCTGGAGGGGCTGCACTGAGTCCTTCTCTTTGTCCCCCGAGTCCCTGCAGCACGGGAGTGGCAGTCATCAGGCTCCGCTACTTCCTGAAGAAGCTTAGAACCAGCTGTTTCAAATGACGAAGACCCTGGTGACCTTGACCCAGATTAGACCGACCAAATGCCCTGTCTCCATGGTCATGGACAGTGGCTATCATTTAGGAGTGGACAGGAGCACTCTAAACAGAGAAAGCAGATCATTCAATCCTGGGGCAGCTGTCCCCACATCAGGCCATCTGCCTGTCCCTCAACTAGGAGTGGGAGCCACGCCCCTGGCTGCGTCGTTCCCCGGGGGTGCAGAACAGACACCTGTAACCCCACTCTGTTGTTCGTCCTAGGAGAGATGGCCGCCTCCCACTGGACAGGACCTTCCTGGCCTCGCTGTCTCTGCCTCCATCGCGGGCTACATGCCCTGTCCCCGCCCACAGACAGCGGGAGTTGGCACAAGGGCCCTACATCAGCCTTTTGGGACAGGCCGTCCCCTGTGGGTCCGGTGACCTCCTGGCCTGCAGATGGGGAGCCCCTCGGACCCCCGCTTGCTGCTCCACTGCTCTCAGCCTCGTCTTTTCCAGCCAGCTTCCAAACTTTGTTTTCAAGGGGATTCAAGAAGCAGGATTTTGTCCACAACATCGGCTGCTCCCTCTTGGGCTGGCTCGGCCGTGTGTCTGGCGTTCCATGGAGCCCTGCACCCGCTAAGACGTGTTGATGTGGTTAGTGTTCAATGTCTTAATTATTTAAATTGTTCACTCTGTGTTGGGGAGGTACTGCCTACATTTACAATTTAATGACTTTTGTATTTTATTTTTCAAAATAAAAGCTTTAAATGTGAAGCATCTGGGTTGTGGACCTGGTTTCATTAGTATGACCACAGAGAAGCACACAGCACCCATTGGTAATGGACAGCTGGCCGGGTGTGGGGGCAGATGGCCGGTGCGTGGACCGATGGCTGGTGTATGGTTCTGAGCTATGGGTCTGCTCCGCAGTGCGGCCTGGTCTCTTCATGGCGTCTCCCTGGCCAGGCCCAACTCCCTTTCCTGCACCTCACAGGGCTGCACGTTTCACAGATTGAAGGTCTGTGGGACCATCTTTCCAAAAGCATGCGCTTACTTCCTGTCTCTGGTCGTGCTGAGAATGTCTCCGTCTTTTTCACCACGCCGTTGGCACTAAGCAGACTGGACAGATGGCATGGTGCCTGCGTGGCCTTCACATACCCAACTCGTGTCACTGCCACATGCCCTGATGGGAGTGGACGCCTGGGAACTGAGCCTGTAGCATCTCCAGCGTGCACTTGTCATTTATTTCTGAGACCCGCCGCCTTCTGTTTGGGCTCGTTTCTGCATTTTGCATGCTGTACTTACAAGTGACTCTCCAACAGTTTTCTGGAAGCCTTGATAGAACTCTCAGGACGTCCTGAGGACAGTAATTCCCTTACTGTGTTCTCTGTACATCTTCTCATCCCTGCCCAGAAACCACGCCTCCTGCAACGCCATCCGCGCACTGAAGGCAGAGTCTCCCACCCCATCATTCAAGCCAGAAACCCAGGAGTCATCCTGGGCCTCTCCTTTCGCCCCCTTCTCCCCACGTACTGCTGTCGGCCTTCAGAATCTCCCCCACGTGCTGCTGTCAGCCTTCAAGGTCCTTCTCTGCCCCTGCCCCACTCGAGGCATCACCATCTCCCCAGGAATCATGGCGAGGGCCCTTCCCACTCCTATTCCCCCAGTCTGTTCAGCCACAGTTACCGGAGTGAGGGAGACAGGAGTGAAAACTAATCAATAGATGATAGACATGTATTACATGGAGTTCTGGTGGCCTAGTGGCTAGAAGCTGTGCTGTAATCCCGAAGGCACGTGGTTCAAGGCCACCAGCTGCTCCACGGAGGAGGATGGGCAGTCTCCTTCTATGTAGATTAACTTCCTCTGAAAACCTGCTGTAGGGTCAATTGTGGGTCAGTTCTGTCTCTATGGTACACCCCACCACCACCCCCAAAACAAGGGTGTGTTGGGAAGGAAAAGGTAGTGTACAGTAAAGGGCTGTCAGGCATGGTAATCAGTTGATATTGTTGTTTTTATGCCATTGAATCTGAGTCAACTCATAGCTGACCCTCCAGCAGGTTGTCAGAGGCAGCAAATCGCTTCAAGTAGATGTTGCCCATCTTTCCCCTGTGGAGCAACTGGTAGCTTCGAACTATGTGCCTTCGTGTTGGCAGCACAACTCCTTACCTCTCGGCCATCAGAGCCCCCTTTGTAATCATTTGCTTATGGTAATGAATTCGGACAAGGACAGGTCTATGCAGAGCGGCCCGGAGGGGCTGGACTTGTGTCACCTCCATCCCCATGGTCATGCCTTCAGTTCTGGGCGGTGTGTGCGGGGAAGTGCTTGACTTATAACTGAGAAGGTTGGGAGTTTAAACCCACCGAAGAGCCTTACAGGAAAGGTCTGGTCACCACTTCTGAGAGGTCATCCTTGGGGGAGCCCCATGGAGTGCGGTCTTCAGCACAGAATCAGAGGGAGCCCCTGTGGAACACGTGACGCTGATGAGATTAAAACTGCAGGGACGTACCCAGGTCAGAGGCCAGGACAGACGTGACCCACGACCGCCGGCACTGCAGGACGCATTTACCTCAACGCCTAGCTGTCAGGGCCTTGACCTGCAGCGGCCCGTGTGGCTGTGGTGCTGGAAACTGTGACTTTGGTGATTCAAAGATCAGCAGGGCTCTTTCGTCTCCTGTGGCCATCGCCGAAGCAGCAGCGGCCAAAATGAAGTTCAATCCTTTTGT